CATTCTCAAGTTCATTATCAAGTCCACGGTCAGATGCTGGGAATCATGACAACTACTAAGACAGACGACTTCGGACTAGGTGCGTTCTACATGGTCTCCCTGAGACCAAGACCAAGTTGCGACAACGAAGTCAACCCACTTTTAACTTACGAGGTTTCTCGAACTTGGGCTACTTTTTGTATCGTTTTTATGTTGAAGAGACCTGCAGTCCCATTCGATAAGGTGCGGCCAAATACAGAAGTGCCCACGTAGACTGCTAGGTTGAAAAATCAGAGAGCGGAATACATGGATTAACCGACTCCACATTTTTTGTTTTGCTGATGATGATAATGCTACAGTTTAATTTTAATTTATAGGGGCAATTGAAATCAACAGATAAGGAAATAGATTTAATGTCAAGAGCACTGGCAAAAAGTTAAGCTGGGACTCCTTATGCTTAGTTGATGGACTCAATGGTAGAGACGCTGTTGAACTACCTGGAACAATGATATGGCTTAACTTGTCTTTTGCAGGCAGACGTTCTAATCACGATTCCACTTTCTATACGTCTTGGTTCACTCTCTTTCACACACAGAAAGAGAGAGACAAAAATTCCAAAACTCAACCAGACGTATGTCCAAAATTACGCTTTCGGATAGATAGTTAAAATGAAAAAAAGGATGAGAATTATTAAGTCTAGATGACTGAGGACAGATGTTACGTCCTGTTAAAATTACCTTAGGCTATCTCTGCTGTTTTCGTACATATACGCGCATATCAAGGCCTATAAGCGGACACAATATATACAGGCATATGTTTTCAGATTGGCATATGACTTGAACCAGCCAAATCACTATATACTTAATTAAAATGCACAGGTTTATGAGATATATATTACATTTAGGGATAGACTGGTGAGTTTTCCTGACCGGTTAGCTTGAATATGGCTCTAGTAATGATACCCTGCTCTACTGATGGTAACAGGGGATAGCTTCTCACATTTCTTCGGTATCGAAGGTGATTGATTCGGGGAAAGTGCCAAAACGATAGTTCCAGAATAGTCAACCGACGACTGATAAAGAGGAATACGCTATCTTCTTCTGGTGGGACCTACCTTCAAATCTCTTCACCACACTCCTTCCCTCGAAAAGGACGATTAGTTAGGCCGAGATTGCTCGAAAAATGAATGGGACTGTGAGGTGGCGTTACCAGGACGCCAGAAAATACCAAAAGTACAGTCCTAAATGGAAAGATCATGAGTTAACCTTTTGACCTTATATTATTTAAACAGGATGGTACTAAGTGGCTTCATCAAATGTCAGCAAAGGTCTGCATCAATTTCATACTCTGATCAGTCCTCTTTTCTGTACATTCAATTTACTTTATTTTTATAGACAGAGGCAGAATGGAGCTGGCCTCTTTTCTGGTAATTATCCCTAGATTACCCTCCCCGGTAGCTTAGTTAGGATGGTCTGTTTGCAGTTGTCCCGATTCACTGCATTATCGAACAGTAATTAAGAGCAGGACGTATGAAAACAGTGTGGGCTAGAGGTAGTTGTAATGGCTTGCTAGTCTCTCATCAACGAAACGACTTTCGAAAGCAAGCCATGGACAATTCCATGAAGTGTTCTAGGGAGACATGTCAATGATCCTGTTTGACTGACGTTTGTGAAGTCAATGCAAAAATGGCACAGCAGACACAAGTACACACTCACACGCACAGACATAGACCCAAACCGGGCCTCTGCAACCACGAATTCAAGAGATGTCTGTCATTAAAACCATCATGGCTTCAAGATAGCAAAGGTCTAATCGCCCTAGGCCTCTTAAGGTGATTTCAAGACTATTAATGCAATTTTTTCCACAATCTGATGAGTAGGTCTAATGATGCCACAACATTTCACGGATCATTGCATCCAACGGCTCCTGTGGCTGAATAGCGGATTGGCAATGTCTCGTCACGATGAACATGCCCGGGCTTAGATTTTCATTAAAGATGCTGATGAAAGCAAGGCGTACTCGAAACAGCACTCCCTTTTGGATGAGGAAACATTGTGGGAGAAAAGGCTGAATGAAACTCAAAGGCATCGGAGGCCCATTCCCATTATTTTAGGCAAAACTTCTCTATCAGCACTTAAATCACTTTAGGCTACCTAGGGTGACCAAGTGCTTATTCGAAAATTACTAAAATTTTCGAAACATTCTCATATTGGATACTTATCCGTATATATATATATATATATATATATATATATCCCGTCTTAGTTCATTCTCTTTCACACACACAGTAACTACTCTCCCGAATATGTGATTATCTATCTATTGATTTTGCTCATAAGATACAAGTGTGGCAGTTTTGTCTCCTCTACCAGGCTTCGTGATTTGTATCACGTCACGTCAGACAGGTCCCTCGTATAAAAGCATCGTTTCTAAACAATTTTCAAGGTCATTCATGCATCCGCATTAATCATATCCACTTGGCCAAACCTCATTTCGCCAGGGAGAACGTCAGGAAAAGAGGGCAAGAGAGCGGTGACATTAGCTCGGCTCTTGTAACCGGAGTCTTTCGGACAATGGCCCATCTCGGTCGGCCCACTCAACAAATTCACTGCAGCTCAGTAGAAAATGGTGCAAATAATGGTTGATTTTTTGTTATTTTACGCTGATTTGAGTTTGTCATCGCGTAAACAGCCTAGCATTCACCGTCACTTAGAGTCGCCAGTTCCATTGATGATCATCAATGCTGACAGGCCGAATGTGGGTTTGGAATGTGATGACGGAGGTGACGAATGGGCTGGGAGAATTCTAAAGGCATGGGGAGAGGAGGATTGGGATAAGAGTGGCGAAGCATGTGAATCAGCATATCTGTGAGTTTGCGTGCATCAACGAAAGAAATGACCACATGTGAAGAGAAGGAGGGTAAGATTGAGAGGACAGTAAGATGCGGGTGCAAAGCTAGAGGATGACGATCAAGAGAAAGATGCGGATGCGACGGGGGGTGGAGCGGATTCAAATAGATCACCAGTGTGCTAGTCTTTATGACAGAGCGTTGGGGCTGGATAAAATTCATCATGCGATGAAGGGTTTGATTAAGAATGACAAATAAATTGTGTAGTTAAAGAGCAAGCAGCAAATCATTGAGAAGGGGTCATTGGTTCATGCAAAGGTCATATTAAATTCAGTCAAGCTCACTTGAGAAACGCTCCAGAAATAGGAACATCAAGTTAATTATTCTCTCCATTCCTGCCCCTTCTACTATACTCTATTACACTGTGTCTTTAAATTTTCTTCTTTTCTCCTCTCTTCATTTCTCTTTCCTATACTCTACTCTACTGTAGTCTTCTTCCTAACCTTAGTAGTATGACTTATTACAACCTAATGCGCATAACACTGCGCTTATTATTGCTTTATCCATATGTTATGCCAAAATTCCCCTTTAATAAAAACTTAAAATGTATAATTCAAAGCTACTTATATCAAAATTAAAATCTTTCCACCCTATGATACGCGATTCTTAATATTCTGCCCCCCTCAATTTGTGCATCCCCCACATTTCGTGCCACCAATTAAATCCTACCTTTAATTTAGCCATTTTCCTATTTACATCTTAAACCCTTCACACGGTGATCCTTTGGTCACTTTCAGCAATACACTTATTCTGATTTTATGTGGATCTTGCTTCTATCTAAATTCTAAATAAAAGACAAAAGTAAAATTTATTTCACTCTTTTCGAAAACCGGTGTTCACTCATTGACACTTACTCAGACATATTGAGATTTGCTGTTAGAGCAGCAAGATGTATATATGGGTATCTAGACCAGTAATGCCCTCATGCATGTCTAAGATGCCAAAACGATGTAGGTAGAGCTAGTGTTTGATTGATAGATTGATGTCTAACTATATAAAAATGGACTACCTTGACATTGTAAAGGATGATAAAGTTGTGATGATTCTCCAAACTGCCCAAATGAAAACAGTACGGCCTAGTTTGTAGGCAAAATCCCATGTGAAATTAATTTAGCCTGCATCTGCAAGTGACAGGCTTATAGTTACTGAATAGATATAAAAATTGGCTGCTATGAATAGACGTGTATGAATATTGCATACCTCTGGTCATACATGCATTTTAGGTGTACATGTGAGTGTGGAGCGGGGCGTGGATGGCTATGAGCGAGTGTGAGTGGCAGACAATTGTGCTAGCTTGATGAGAGACGATTGTATAAAAAACAGTTTCCTTTGTTAAAGTATATATTATGATCTTCTCGACGTGATATGACAAATTTGCGCGCCGTAGACACTAATGAAGAGACATTGGACAGACTGCGACGGGTAAATAACATATGGTGTATGTGTTAGTGTGCTTTAAGGTAAGCGATAGCGGCAATGGGAGTTAGCAAATGGTGAGGGTGACAAGGAAGCAGAAGAAGATTGAAATGAAGAAGAGTGAAAAGAGTGTAAAAACTATTTGGAACTTATCTGAACGAGTAGACCTTGTATTTTCAACTTCATATTAGCGAAGGAGACTGCGACCACAGCGATTAACCCAAATCTGAAGGGCTTCGGTCATCTTGTGTAATTAAAGATGATGGACAGAAGCTTGCAGAGCAATCCATGTGACTGGCGGAATGTATGCTTTATTTCATTTGCGTTAACCTACCACAATCAACTGAGTGATACAAACTTTATCACGAAGACAGGAGAGAGGATTATTGTAAATGAAGACGCATAGACACTCGAAATGCTGGGAATATCCAGAGAGAAGTAAGTAAATAATGACAGATGGGTAGACATAAAAAAGGTGCAGTGAGAAGGGAATACAACTCACCAACTGTCCAGTCCAAAGTCTCTAGCACGAAGTCGCCTGGAGACGGACTTCGTCATGCCAACTGGGAAGAGACATTCGCTATCACATAATATTCATCTCAGGCCTGCATGAACTAATCAAGCTACAGGGCCTGTCTTTTTGGTCTGACAGCAGTTCTTTTTCTCCTGACAGTAAGATGAAGGGTTGACATAATTTTTTGTCTTAAATACCAGCCTTCTTGAGTCTGGAATAAGCTGTTTGAGTTGTTCGCCTTCACATTTTTATCTGCACGTTGACCCGCACCAGATTTTGGCATATCGCAGTTCACTCTTCAAAAGAAGTCTCAAGGGGCCAATCAAAGGTAGCCATAGAGATTGCATACTGGACGATTCTCGAGCATCGAGTAGGGTGAATTAGATGCTTGTATGCTGGGGTCGATCAACTCCACATCCTAAAAGCTCGGAAGACGAGAGATAAGACTCAAATTCCGCCTGAAAGAGGGTAGCGGAGAAACGGGAAAATACTGGCTTTCGTGTCAGTCCGAACGCACCTCGCATAAACGACTAGCTGTAAGGATTCGGCTATACTGCCAGACTTTTGGCGCTGATCGTAGTTAAGATAAGCACTTGGTCTTAGCCAATGATGGATTACATTCTTCGTTGAAAGTTGACGCTGATGTTTTGCGAAAGCGATTAAATTGCTAACCTACAGAGGAGATTAGGAGAGAAAAGGAGGTTAGTTTGCTAATAAATTTCATTCTAAGAACCTTAATCAACCCTACTTACATACGAATACAAGTAGCGTTGTCAATTGCTATAGCAAACATACGTTTGTTTCATCAGCACCCCCACCAAAAAATATGATAAAGCAGAGGCCTGACCGTCCTTGAAACTCACTTATGCCCTGTGACTCAAGGGTACTCGTGG